GTTAACAATACTTAATGTGTATGCACTTAACAACAGAGCATCAAAATATGTGAAGCAAAAGCTGATAGAACTCCAAGGAGAAATACATGAATCTACTAGTACAACTGGAAACATTAACACCCCTCTATTAGTGATGGAGAGATCTAGAAGGCAGAAAATCAGTAAAGAGAAAGTTGGGCAATACTGTAAGTCAACTAGATCTAATTAACATTTATAAAGTACTTTATCCAACAACAGCAGAGTACACATTCTTCTCAAGCTTACATGGAGTGTTCACCATGATAGACCACATTCTGGGCCATAAAACACACCTTAACAAATTTAGACATTATAAGAATCGATATCATATGATGTTTGCGATCAGACCAAAATGGAACTAAATTAAAAATCAATAACAGAAACATGGCTGGAAAATCCCAAAACATTTAGAAAATATACAACACACTTATAAATAACATTTTTATCAAAGAAGTTGTTTCAGGAAAAATGAAAAAGTATTTTGAACTAAACGAAAATACAACTTATCAAAACTTGTGAGATGCAGTTCTTAGAAGGAAATTTATAGCTTTGAATGAAAAATTAGGAAAGAAAAGATCTCAAATTAATAATCTAATATTCCATCTTAGGAAAATAGAAAAAGAAGAGCAAATGAAATACAAAGTAAGCAGAAGGAAAATAATAAAATTCAGAGCAGAAATCAATGAAATTGAAAACAGGAAAATGATGAGAAAATCAATGAAACCAAAAGCTGGTTCTTTTGAAACATCAATAAAATTGCTCTCAACCCTTGGCAAGGTTAATGAAGGAAAAAAAAAGAGAGAGAGAGAGACAGAAACACAGATTACTAATATCAGAAGTGAAATAGAGGCCATCACTACTGACCCATGGACATTAAAAAAATAATAAATTAATATTATGAACAGCTCTATGTCTACAAATTTGATAACTTAGATGAAATGGATCAATCCTTTGAAAGACATATTCTAACAAAACTGAAATAAAGATAAATTGATCATCTGAATAGGCCTATATTGATTAAAGAAATAGAATCAATCATTAATAACCTTCCAAAGCAGAAAGTACTGGGTCCAGATGATCTCACTGGTGAATTCTACCAGACATTTAAGGAGCAAATGATACCATTTCTTCACAATCTGTTCCAGAAAATAGAAACAGCAGAACACTTCCCAACTCATTCTGTGAGGCCAGAATTATGCTAATACCAAAACCAGATAAATACATTACAAGAAAAGAAAATGACAGACCAATATCATTTATAAACATAGATGTAAAAATTCCCAACAAAATATTAGCAAATTGAATCCAACAATATATAAACAGAATTGTACATCATGACCAAGTTGAATTTATTCCATATATGCAAGGCTGTTTGAACATTAGACTATCCCTTAATATAATCCATCACTTCAACAGGCTAAAGAAGAAAATATGATATAAAAAGATGCAGAAAAATCATTTGACAAAATCCAACACCATTCATGATAAAAACTTTCAGCAAACTTAAAATAGAGGGAAACTTCCTCAGCTTTATGAAGAACATATATTTTTTAAAAACCTTATAGCCAACATCGTACTTAATGGTGAGAAACTAGATACTTCCCTTTTAAGAACAAGGGAACAAGGGATGATGTTCCTCTTTTTCAAACTTATTTGGCATTGAACTGGAGGTCCTAGCTAGTGTAATAAGACAAGAAGAGGAAAAAAAAAGTGTACAGATTTGGAAGGAAGAAATAAAACCATCTTTGTTTGCAGATGTCATAATTGTCTATGTAAAAAAATCCCAAAGAACTTATTTTAAAAAACTTTTGGAATAAATAAGCAATTATAACAAGGTTGCAGGATAACAGGATACAAGCTAATATACAAAAGTCAGTTGCTTTCTTATATTACCAGCAATAAATAATTGAAATTTAAAATGAAAAACATAATACCATTTACATTAACACCAAAAAAGAAAGAAAGAAATAGGTATAACTCTAACAAAATATGTACAAAATCTGCATAAGGAAAACTATAACACTTTGGTCAAAGAAATTAAAGATCTAAATAAATGGAAAGGTATTCCGTATTCATGGATAGGAAGCCTCAATATTGTTAGGATGTTCAAATTTTTCTTCACAACTTGATCTATGCATTCTATGCAACTCTAATTAAAATCCCAGAAAATTACTTTGTAGTTATTTACAGATTCTAAAGTTCATATGGAAAGGCAAAAAGACCTAGAATAGCCAAAATGATATTCAAGAACAAAGTTGTAAGACTGCAAGACCATAAGACTACTACCTGATTTCAAGATTTATAATAAAAATAGAGTAATCAAGACAGTGTGATACTGGCAAAAGAATAGGTGAAAACACTTGAACGACATGGCTTGAACTGCAAATATCTGCTTATACATGGATTTTCTTCCACCTCTGCCACCCCTAAGACAGCAAGACCAACCCCTCCTCTTCATCCTCTTTCTCAGCCTACTCAATGTGAAGACAATGAGGATGAAGACTTTTATGATGACTCACTTCCACTTAATGAATAGTAAATATATTTTCTCTTTCTTATGATTTTCTAAATAACATTTTCTTTTCTCTAGCTTACTTTATTATAAAAATAACAGTATCTAATACTCGTAACATATGAAATATGTGTTAATCGACAGCTTGGGGTATCTGTAAGGCTTCTGTTCTGTAGGAGACTATCAGTAATTAAGTTCTGGGAGAGTCAAAACTTCTATGCAAATTTTCAACTGTGCAGGTGGTTGGCATCCTTAACACCCATGTTGTTCTAGGATCAACTGTATTTCACTGAGACAGAATGGTAAGCCCAGAAATAGAAACAGATATAATCTTTGTTCTACACAATATACATTCCATATAGACACAAATATAGGCAAGTAATCTTTGACAAAGGAGCAAAGACAATACAATGGATAGTCCTTTCAACAGATGATGCTTGGAACAAATGGATGGCTACATGCAAAAAAATGGATCTAGACACAGATCTTTTTCACCTTTCACCAAAAAAATAAAAACCCAAAACCTCAAAATGGATCATAGACCTAAATATAAAATGCAAACTATAAAATGCCTAGAATATAAACATAGGAGAAAATCTGTGTGACCTTAGGTTTGGTGATAGGTTTTTAGCTACAACACAGAAAGCACAATCCATGAAAGAAAAAATTGATAAGTTGGACTTTATTAACATTAAAAATGTCAGCCTTGCAAAAGACACTGTTAAGAGAATGAAAAGATAAGCTATAGACTGGGAGAAAATATTTGCAAAACATATATCTGATAAAGCACTTGTATCCAAAATACAGAAAGAATGCCCAAAAGACAATAATAGGCCGGGCATGGTGGCTCAGGCCTGTAATCCTAGCACTTTGGGACACTAAAGCAGGAGGACTGCTTGATGCCAGGAGTTCAAGACCAGCCTGGGCAACACAGTGAGACTGCACCACTACAAAAAATTTAAGAAAGTATTCAGACATGGTGACACACACCTGTACTCCTAGCGACTCAGGAGGCTGAGGCGGGAGGATCGCTTGAGCACAGGAAATGAAGAAGGTTGCAGTGAGCTATGATTGGGCTACTGTACTCCAGTCTGGGCCACAGAGTGAGACCTGTATTTAAAAAAAAAAAAAAAAAAGGAAGGAAGGAAAAAGAGAGAGAGAGGGAGGGAGGAAACAATCAGAAAACAAACTCAATTACAAATGTGGGCAAAAGATCTGAACAGATACCACACCAGAGGAGATATAGAAATGATACAGAAGCATACGAAAATATGCTCAACATCATATGTCATTGGGGAATTGCAAATTAAAACAACAATGACATATCATTATATACCTGTTAGAATGGCTAAAATCTAAAACTCTGACAATACCAAATGTTGATGAGGGTGTGAGTGGAGCACCACAAACTCTCATTCGTTATTGGTGGGAATGCAAATTGGTATAGCCACTTTAGAAGACAGTTTGGCAGTTTTTTATTAATACAAAGCTAAGCATATTCTTACTATACAAACAGGTAATCAACACCCCTTGGTGTTTACCCAAATGAGTGGAAAACTTATGTCAACACAAAAACCTGCACATGAATGTTTATAACATCTTTATTCATAGTTGCCAAAAATTTGAAGCACCCAATATGTCTTCTGTGGCCAGACTGTGTCCTCCTAAAGTTCATATGTTGAACTCCTAATACTCAAAGTAATGGTATCAGGAGGTCAGATCTTTGGAAGATGAGTAGGTCATTAGGACACAAGTTCTTACAGTTGGGATTAGTGCCCTTAAAAATAATACCCGAGGGAGCTAGTTCTCCCCTTCTGTACAGCTAGAAAGTACCATCTACAAAGCAGAAAAATGGGTCCTCACCAAACACCACATCTGCCAGCACCTTGATCTTGGACTTCCCAGCCTTCAGAAATATGAGAAATAAATTTCTGTAGTTTATAATCTATCAGTTTATGGTATTTTGTTATAGCAGGCTGAACAAATTAAGAAAATGTCCTTCAATGAGTAAATGGTTAAACAAACCATGGTATGCCATATAATGGAACATTATTTACAATAAAAATAAATGAGCTATCAAGCCACAAAAATTTATAGACGAACCTTAAATGCGTACTGCAGAAAAAGCCAGCCTAAAAAAGCCACATAATATAATTTGTAAAAGCAGTTAGCACAATACATGATACTTATTAGGTGCTTAATAAATGTTGAATGAATGAGTGAACTAGGGAATGAAAGAATGGACGGTACTCCTTTCTTTTCTTTTGAATCCAAGCAAAGCTTAATACCGTGCATAAACAAGCACAGATGAATCAACTAAAGATACAATTTTGTTTATACACGGTAGAGTAAAAGATTAATAAATGTATTATCTAAATATATGTCATAGTATAAATTCCATACCAACTGCAATGTTTATTGAAACAGAGTAAACTTTGATTCTCATATCTTAAATTTTATTTTAATATAGGGACCACGAGGACTGCAAGGTGATGCCGGACCTCCTGGGGAAATGGGCATTGAGGTAATTTTTTTGTGGCTCTTTCTTAAACATCAATACTCAATACCTTTAGTAAGACTCTAGGATAAAGTTAATATATTATGAATATATTATGAAGAATAATTCTATAGTGTTTTGTTTCAAATTCAGGAAATAAAGCCTAAAATTTCATTAAAAGTAGGGATAATTATTGTATAAACCTAATTTTATACATATAAAGTTCTCCTCTAACAATTAGCTCATTGAAATAGCATAACAAAAAGTAAATAATACTTTCCCTTCGTTGATTTAGAGTTGACCTAATAGTCTTTCATTCTAAGATGTTATATGTCCTTTATGAAAGAATATTCAAGGCTAAGTGTCATAGCTAGACCCCATCTATATAAAAAGGTAAAAGAAAATTAGCTGGGCATGCTGGCGTGTGACTGTAGTCCTAACTTCTCAGGAGGCTGAGGCAGGAGGATCACTTGAGCCCAGGAGTTTGAGGTCGTAGTGAGCCATGATGACGCCACTGCACTCTAGCCTGGGCAACCAAGCAAGACCTTGTCTCTCTCTCTCTCTCTCTCTCTCTCTCTCTCTCTCTCTCAATCTCACACACACACACACACACATATAGATATATTAAAGAAGTGACCCTATTTAGGATATATTTTGAATAATCAGCCACATTTGTTATAATTATAAAAATACAATTACTTTATTTTTATTGATTGTTAACTTTAGCACTAAATAAATGAAACAAATTCTCTCCTCTCTTGGCTTCTGTGCAAATTCTCTGTCTTGATTCTCCACTTTACCTTGTCCTTAGCCTTTCTCAGTCTTGACATGAAGTTGACCTTTTACTTCCTCGGCTTTTCAATGATATTATCACAGTGACTTTAAGTACCAATTTTATTCTAATAGCTCTCATCTTGATAGCTCTAATTCATATCTCTCTCTTCAGGTCCAGTTATTGATTTCCCGTTGTCGTTTTAAATACCCACGTAAATATCCAACAACATCTCAAATTCAAAATATCTAAACCAAGCCCATCACATTTCCTCTTTTCTTCCTCTTTTTATTCCCATCTCAATGAAAGATATCCCTTAGACCCAATAACCCAAAAGTGAGTCATCCTAGACTCCTCCTCCTACATTATCCTCTCCAATCGGCCATCTTTTCCCTTTGAGTAAGCCTCCCTCCCCCATTCTCTCTTAAAATCTATCCTTCCCTTTTTAACCCTATTGTGTGCTCTAGTCCTCCCCTCTTATGCCATGTCTCCTCCAAGTGCTGTCATTTCATCATCCATTTGTTTTCAGTTTATCTTTCTTATATCATTCATCTCCTTGAAATTTTTCAAGACTTCTCATAGCCTTTAGGATAAAATGCCAATTTCTTAACATGGTAAATAATATTCTACATGATCTAACTTTTGCAAACCTGTTAACCACAACCCCAGTAAAACTCTTCTCCTTCCCCACGTGAAAGATTTGTGGACCTATTTTGTATTCCTTGATTATTCCATGCTTTCTTACTGTGCACTGTGTATCTGCTGGGGATTAAATGATGACTAAGATATATGATCCCTGACTCCTTTAGGAGTTTATAATCTAATCCAGAAGATAGTTTTATAAAAGATCATCATATTGCAATGTGTTGAACCCAATGATGGGGCTATTGATAGGGCAACATAGGAGCATAGCAATAGACCCTTAACCCCACCTAGAGAAAGGGAAAAATAAGACTTATGTGTGTGTGATGGAAGAGGGGTTGAGGAGACGAGTTTTAAGGAAGAGTAGGTGTTAGCCTTATGAAAAAAGGGAATAAGGATTAGGGAAGTGCAGAAAAGGGGATAGTATGGGCAAGAACATGCAAATATGAAGCAGTATGGATTCTTTAATGCTTAAAGTCAAAGCAAGGAGTGGTAATAGATTAAGTTATAGGCAAATGATTAGATCATGAAAGGTCTTATGTATTCTGTTCAGAAGCTTGAACTTTTATTTTGCAGGCTATAGCAAATCATTGGAAAGTATAGAACAGGGCAATAATAAAGTCAAATTTGTATTTTAGGAAGATAATTCTAACAACTACATAAGTGATGTATTTGAGGAAACAAGAGTGAAGACAGTTTACCTATTAAAAAGCTGTTGCATTGAACTAGGCAAGAAATGACGGCATCTGAACTAAAGCAGCAGGCATAGAAAAGGAAAGGAAGGGATGGGTTTGAGAAATATTTGTTATATAAATTCTGCAGAACCTACATATTTGTGGAATTTGGAAAGTAAAGCAGAAAGAGAAGTCAAAAACTATTCCCATAATATTAGGTGTTGCAAGATATATAGCAGTAACTTTTCCTGAGACCAGAAAAGACTGTTAGAGAGGTTAAGGTCCTATTTGCCAACCTGCCCAAGGTAAATGGCTAACAAGTAGCAGAGGCTGGCTTTGATCTGACTCAAAAGTTAATGCTTATAACCTATATTATGCTGTATCCTCTGCACCTAAAGACAGCTGAGAGAAATCATACTTCATACCTTGAAATTATTTAAGAGAGTAAGATAAACATTCTCTTGTAGTAAGGAGTGGGGGTTGAGTAGGCAACTTGATGAAAATATGATAGTTTAGAATAGTGGTTGAGGGTAATGGAAGAGGGAAATGTCCAAAGACAAGTAAAAGAACAGATATACCTCAAAGTCAAACTGAACTAGGAGATGGTGAATTTGCAGTATATTAATAATAATAATGATAATTATACTTAATGATGGAGCACTTTCTATGTGCCTAGCTTTATTTATATGCTTTACTGTATTAATGGGTTCTCACAATAACTCTGTGAGATCGGTGCAGTTATTATCCCCATTTTGCAGATAAGGGAATTAAAGTGTGAAATGGTTAAGTGGCTTGCTTAACCATTACAAGAGTAACAGCTAGTAGTAGTGGTAGAACCTAGATTTAAACTTAGGCAATCTGCCTCCAGAACCCATGCTCTTAGCCACTGTGCCTCTCGACATGTAATGATGCCACTTTGTTTAAGGATGTAATTTTTTCCAGCAGTATTTATCTGGGAATAGAAATGGTAAAGGCAATTTAAAGCACTGATCCAGTATTGACATAACAAAAAAGTGTACCACAGTGATTAGCTACTGGATTTAGCCTAGGAAAGGAATAAAGGAGGCCAAGAGGGACTGAAAGATGGGGAGAAAATAAGGACTGCAAGAGGTCTGTGAGATTAAAATCAGGTTATTTTTTAATTTTTACTTTTTTTACTACACTTGATCTTGGCCAAAAGACCAAGAAGAAATTAATTTTTTACTTTTTTAAAAAATTGACAGTTACATTGTATGTATTTATCATATATAACATTATCTTTTGAAGTATATACACATTGTGGGATGATTAAATCTAGCTAATTAAATGCATTATCTCCATAGTTACCATTTTTATGATGAGAGCACTTAACTTCTACTCTCTTTGTATTTTTCAAAAATATATAATTAACTATATTCACCTGGCTGTACAATAGATCTCTTGAATCATTTCTCCTAACTATAATTATATATCCTTTGATCATCATCTTCCTATTCCCTTTCTCCTCTAACCACCCCATCCTCTAGTAGCCACCATTCTACTTTCTACCTCTATGAAATCAACTTTTTTAGATTCCACAGATGATGTGAGATCATGCAGTACTTTTTTTTGTGCCTAGCTTATTCCCTTAACATAATGTCCTTTAGGTTCATTCATGTTTTCTCAAATGACAAGATTTCCTTCTTTTTTATGGGTTGAATAATATTCTATTGTGTATATATATGACATTTTCTTTATCCGTTCATTTATTGGTAAACACTTATGTTGATTCAATATCTTGGCTATTGTGAATAGTGCTAAAATAAGCATAATGGTGCAGATTTCTCTTCGATATAACAATTTCGTTTTCTTTGGATATTGTTAAAATGTACATACTACCTAAAGCAATCTACAAGTTCAGTGTAATCCCTATCAAAATACCAATGACATTCTTCGCAGAAATGGAAAAAACAATCCTAAAAATTTGGATAGAACTAAAAAAGACCCCAAAAAACCAAAGCAATCCTGAGCAAAAAAACCAAAGCTACGTGCATAATGCTACCTCACTTTAAAATATACTACAAAGCTATGTAACCAAAACAACATGGTACTGGCATAAAAACAGAGACAAAGAACAACAGTACAGAATAGAGAGCCTAGAAACAAATTCACACATTTATAGCCAACTGATTTTTTACAAAGGCGCCAAGGACACACACTGAGGAAAGAACAGCCTCTTCAATAAATGGTGCTGGGAAAATTTCATGTCTGCATGCATAAGAATGAAATTAGACCCATATCTCTCACCATATACAAAAATCAACTCAAAATGGATTAAAGACTTAAACATAAGACCTGAAACTATAAACCTCCCAGAAGAAACATAGGGGAAAAGCTCCACAACATTGGTCTGAGCAGTGATTTTGGGGATAAGATGTCAAAAGCACAGGTCACAAAGACAAAAATAGACAAATGGGATTACTTTGAGCTAAAATGCTTCTGCACAGCAAAGAAAACAACCAACAGAGTAAAGAGACAATCTATGGAATAGGAAAAAATATTTGCAAACTATGTATCTGACTTGGGGTTAATATCCAAAATACAGAAGGAACTCAACACAATAGCAAGAAAACAAATAACCTGATCAAAAAATGGGCAAAAGACCAGAACAGACATTTCTCAAAAGAAGACATATAAATGACCAACAGACATATGAAAAAATACTCAACATCACTAGTCATCAAGGAAATGCAAATCATAACCATGATGAGATATCACCTCACCCCAGTTAGAATGAATATTATCAAAAAGACAAAAACTAGCAAATACTGCAAGGATGGGGAGAATAGGGAACCTTTACACACTTAAGAGATTCCTCAACAAATTGAAAACAGAAAGCAATTTTGATATGGAAGAAGTCCTGACAAAGTTGGAATTCTCTCAAGGGAGAGTTTTAATCTTTGTGTGACATATTAAGTTCTATAATTTCTGAAGCAGAGCAGAAACCCCAGGAAGTCTCACTTCAGGGCCCTTTTGCTTAAGTACTGCACTATACTCCCTTTGATAACAGTGAAGAAGTTACAAAGGTAACCAATGGAAAAATTAAAATAATCTAGCAACTATTTAAAAATTGAGGAAATGATAAAAGGGAGGTGGTATAAGGGAACTAAACTTTTAGCAAGGTAATACATCCAAAAGTCAAGGTATATTTATTGAGTTATAGAAGTAACCACTGGAGAACTAAAAACAAAAAAATATTTCAAAAAGTAATTGCCTCTGAAGAATGGGACTGAGGCTTTTCATCTATTCTGTTGTGCATGTATAACTTTTATTTTGGAAAAAACCAAAAGCCAAAGTGAATATGGATTGCAGAAGCTATGTCAAAATGGAAAACTGAACTTTCCTCAATCTATTAATAAAATAGTATAGATGATATAAAAGAAATTTTAATCTCTAGTAATTATAAGGAAGTTTGTCATCCATGGATCAGAAACACCGAGGAAGCCCTGAAACACAGAAAGCAAACGGGAAAGAAGGGAAGGACAGAGGAAGGGAGGGAGAGAGAGAAAGGAAAGAGGTGTGGGTGAGGAAAGGAAAGAAGGGGAAAGGGAAGGACACACATAGTATGTTCCAAAAACAAGATAAATGTCTCTGGGAGACAAAAACAATACATCTGCGATTATGAGGAGCTCCAGGCCTAGAAATAGCCAGGCTGGGAAATGCAAGAAGTTTTATGTTTTCAAAGTAATAAGAACCAAAAGCTTCCCAATGAAACTGGACCACCCATGAAAGAAGGCTGGAAAAGAAGCTCCGTGTGTGCGTGTGTGCGTGTGTGTGTGCATGTGTGTGTGTGCGGGTGTGTGTGTGTGCGCACACACGCATGTATATGTGTCTTTTGTAATGTGAATAAATTCATCTCTTATTTGTGTGATATTTTCTATAAAACCAATAAGGAAAAATGAATTTTTTTAAGGAAGTGGTATCCAGAAAGCACAACAGAAAGGGATGGGAAAAGCAAAAGGTGAGGAAACACAGAGAAGAATAAGAGTATGAAGGTGGAAAATTAGAAGAGGAAATAGGAGGTAGTTTGTTTTTTATTCTTTGACCAATGTTTAAAGGATGAAAGGAAGGATTAGAAGAAACTGGTCTTAAAAGTCCTGATTTTAGGTGAAGTTGTTTTGGAATTTGAACTGTTAAAGGATCCCAGAAGGCATCTGGTCTCATGCCATGAAATATATAAAGGGGTAGCAAAGACCCTCTTTTAGACACACATATCTTACCCTTGAGCTAAAAATTAGCACCATCTTCTTATGAGGTGGTTACTGCCTTTATAATATGTCAAATCATTCTCTTGTAGGGACCTCCAGGCATAGAGGGAGAATCTGGTCTGCAAGGCGAGCCAGGTGCAAAGGTAACCTTCCTAAAAAGTAGAGGAGGGTCTCTAAACTTTCAACATTGAATCTCCTACATTTGCCACATTTTGGCAAACACCCACCATCTTGAAAGCAGGTGAATGCCAGCAAATAAAAATGGGAAGTGTTTTGGAACTCCTATTCCTTATGACACACCCTCTGTAATTAGACACATAGTTCTAGTAGAAAAGAGTTTAATCTTTCCCTTTGTTTCTTCAGGGAGATGTTGGACCTATAGGCAGTGTTGGAGGAACTGGGGAACCAGGGTTACGGGTAAGTGTCTACTGGAAGCCTTTTTAATGTATTGACCCACTTATTTCAGAAACTCATAGCTTCTCAGCCTAAACACTTCAAAAATAGCATGATAAACCTTTCTGATACATTATAGAAAATGTTTGTCTAAATGTGGCTCTACATTTCTGCAAGTTTCATATCTACAGCTTTTTAATGTACTAGGGCCTTAATCTTTGCCTCTCCTCTGTAAGGGAGAAAGTATACAAACTCTAAAATTCTGGTAGAGTGATCATAACTCTGGTGGAGTGAATCAAGTTGTATTAACCCATGTAAATTCAGCGTAGCAAGGCACTCTGATTTTGTGAGGTGCAGTATTTACATTCCTTGAACTCAGAAACACAGGTCTAGCTGTATACATTTCTATAGCTATCAAATGGATATATATTACATTTAATTGTCTAAAATTTATGAATATTCTGGGACCATCTCACCTTTGAATTTACAGTACTGACTCTTTAAATCATCTGCAGAGCTGTTCAAGGAAAATTAAATCATGCTTATTATACTGTCAAATCCCTTCTAGAAATGAAGTAGAAGTAGAAATAAATGAACACAAACATGCTATTTTCTGTATATGCTGGGGGCAAAATAAAATAAAATAAAATAAATGATATAGCAAAAAATTTAACCTTACTGTTCCTGCTGCAAAACAGGGTGAACCAGGAGCTCCTGGAGAAGATGGTCTCCAAGGAAAAGATGGAGTAAAGGTAAATTATACTTTTAACGTTATACATGAAATGGATGTTTTGTGAACTCTTTAAAATATTAGATATAATTATTTTTGTGTGTCAAACAAAAACCCACTTATTGTGTGGCATAATTATTTCACTGCATTCTTTTTTTAAAAAATTTTTATTGGGTTACAGGGAACCCCAGGAGGAAGGGGACTTCCTGGAGAGGATGGAGAAAAAGGAGATATGGGCTTACCGGGAACTATAGGCCCTGTGGGTAGAATGGGTCAAATGGGTCTTCTGGTGAGTACAACCGTGTTCATTTTCAAATTCTAAGTGAATTCAGTACCCATATGTGTACACACACACATGCACGTGCACATACATACTCTAACCCCTTATGGCATCCAGTGAGTAATTGGAGGTATAGAACTGTGGCTTGAAAGAGGGACAAAATCAAGGATGGATTATCAGCCCTTCAAAGATCCAGAGAGGAAAGAGTGTGTCTTGTGGACACTTTTTTCATAGCCATAGTATTTCTGATGTAAAGCATGTATAAGGGAATGCTTTGTGTTGTCTCAAACTTAGTTTGATTGAATATTTTGGATCTTCATTCATAGAACTGACATTATTGTTATAGAATAACATCTTAGCTCTAGGATGAAATAAGAAATTCTTTGCAAGCACAATGTAAGCAATCAGTATGTGATTTTAAATTGTCACATTACTTCAAGGGAAATTCTAAACGTCATATTGGACAAATTCTCTCACCTTGAGGCAATTGGAAGATGTGAATAAATAATGAAAATAGCATCTCTCTTGCTTAAACACACTTAATTTCTGATATTTGCTATATTCTTCCAGAGACAGTCTCTCTGGTCATTTTGCTGTTTTACTTTACTATTCTCTCTTTCTTATTTCATATCACTAAACATGAGTTTTCCCCAAGATTATTCTATCTTTACTTTCTAAGTTTTCTTACCTTTGGAGATATTTTACTTTCTTGGGAGTCGTTCCTTTGGACCCCACCAGAAAATGATTTCTCTTTCCTCTGGAGTCTGGCAGTCTTATTCAGCCTTTTAAAGACTGTACCTTTTAAGCATGTGTGTCTCTTCCCCCAGAGAATTCATGTCTCTCCAAAAGCAGACACTCTGTCTTTACTCCTTCCCATAAACCACAGGGCTTCTGTGTTTCACTGTTTCCAAATGGGGACTCGGGAAAGACTAAGGAACTAATCGTGAATAACCTGATCATACAGGCAGGCTGGGAAATAAAGTCGTGATTTATAAAGTTTGTCATCTTCATGCTTTTTTCTTGTACTTCCCTTGCTCTGGCTTCTAACCTCCAGATCTTTGAATGTCCTATGACAGCCCCTGCCCCAGTGGGCTCAGTTAGGTTTGCAGGACTAAGAGGAAAGTTCTATCTGGAAGAATACAACAAATATCATAAATGAGGCATATACTGGCCATCTCACCATTCACATTTACCAACGACTATAATCCCTTTAGCAGCAGTTAAAATAATGCTGTAACACATCTTCCCCCAAATAATAGATATTTACACCAGCATATTTAAAACTGACATTTGGAGAACAAAGATGAATCAGAAGTGTCACACATTTTTTGAGCACTGGCAAATTGAGTCTTTTTTCCCTTCAGCTTTACGGTAATGGTAAAGTGCCCATTTCTCCTTTGGCCTACCCTCTCCGTCCTGGGAAACTGTGCTGGGTGTTCCACCAGAGCAAACCCAAAGTCTTAGGGAATCTTCCCCGAAACAATCTTAAACATCATTGGTCCAGACACAAAACAGTATAATTTTACTTATGTGCTCTCACAGAACCCTCCCAATAACCTACAGATCTTATTATCTAAAAAACTGTCTAAAAAACAGTCTAAAAAACTCAGACTCAGAGAAAGCTGAGAGACTTCTACAAGGTAATATAGCAGATGGCAGAGCTGGTACTAATTCTTTTATTTTCTGACTTACAGGTCTCTAAGCCTCATTTATCCATGAGGTGACCGGCTTTGGCCCTTGTAGGGTTCTCAGTAGTTTTCATCTTTTTTAGAGAACTCATCCCCTCTTCCATTTGCATGGACCCACAGAGAAGCCAAGTATCAAATGTCAAGAAAGTGTAATTATCTTCTTGAGAATTTTTGTCAAATTTATGTTTTGATATAAAAAAGCTACTAACAATTTTCATACTTTAGCATGGATTTTTTAAATCAACTAGCCTAGTTCCCTACCAGAATCCTAAGAGTTGATGGGGAGGGAGAAAACAAGGAAGACGCAAACACACATCACAGGATAACACAGCAGGCAATCCCAGAGAGAGATGATGTAGCATGACAGCTGGTGATGGGCAGAGCACAGATGAAAAAGCAGCTCAAAACAACTTGTGGAAAAATGATAAACACAGATTTCATCTGCTTCATAATTTTTCCCAGGAACAATCCTGCCTAGTACACATCTTTGGTGCCTTTTTTTAGTAACAACACATGTGTGTTTCTTTTTCATTCTCTTTGTTGTTCTCCTTGGAATTTTAAATGCCTTTCAGCTTATAAACTCAATAAAAAATACCATGGCATATTTTTTCAAAAGAATTTTATGATCCCAGGAACTATTGCTTAATCAGACAGCCTGATGCTGGATTTATTTTTGCACTTTTAAAATTCTTTCTTAGGTAATATCACAAAGATGCTATCTTGAATTCTTACAAAATAAACAAGAAAGAGAGTAGGAGAAAGAAATAAAATTTTTTTTTCAAGAAAAGAGAAGCTTTTCTTACTTCCTAGAAGATTGAGGAATGAGGCCTGGATTGAAAACTAAGGCAAGAGAGGCATCAGTAACAAATTCCAAATCCAAGATATAGACTTCTTTGAACATATGAAAAAATTGTATATTTTATGCTTGATTCTGTGCTAAAATGCTCAGTTACATAAATGCATAAATCTCTATGAGAAAAGAATTGGGAAGCATCTGAAAAAAACATCTGCTTGACTTATGGTCTGTCATCTATTGCTAAAAAATCTACCACTGTGGTATCTAAGATCTAAACAGATGTGGAGCTATAATCTCCAAAGTTCAATGTACTAAAAAGAAATTGTCTTGTTTTATTCCTTTAGGACAAAATTCAGTTGGATTTATTGAAAATATGTTTGACCTGTTTAAGGTAGTATATTAGGTAGAAGTGAATATCTTAGGAGAAGATGAAATAAAACACCCTTCTAAAAGAAGCTTTTTAAATAAGATCTTAACAGTGAATTCATAAAGATGAGAGGAATATCAATAGTTAGGAAAAATATAAGTCTTGCACAGCCTTTGTTTCTGAGGCAGTTTCCTTGGAAACCCTGAAAAACAATTAGTCGAGAATTTGGGGTGGCATTATGGAGTTAAGGAGTAAAGGATTAGCTAAATCTTTGTCATCTGAATGGTTTCGATGACTCTGGTGTTAGGCTTGTTTGTTCTGAACTGTTTCATCATAAAGCAACACAGAAATAGAAAGCCCTACACTGACCACTGTGCACTCGTTGTTCAAACCCCCGCTCTCCCATTAAACGGCTATACATGTTGGACAAGTCATTCTTTGGTTTCTCAGTTCATAATAAAGGGGTTTCGTATTAATAATAAAGGGGTGGGAGCTATGCAGAACCTCCCAAGATGGTTGTGTCATAAGGAACACAGAATTAGCAGGGCTCTCTTCCTTCTATTCCTATAGAAAAGATCGTCAGAAAAGATCATTTCTGTATGGATTTTCTTTGAAAGAAAAGATTCTATGGCTTTAAAAAAGCATTAGTGGCCAGGTGCAATGGCTCACACCTGTAATCCTAGCACTCTGAGAGGCCGAGGCGGGAGGATTGCTTGAGCTCAGGAGTTCAAGACCAGCCTGAGCACGAGCACCATCTCTACTAAAAATACAGACATTTTTTCTGACGCTTGTAGTCCCAGCTCCTTGGGAGGCTGAGGCAGGAGAATCGCTTGAGCCCAGGAGTTTAAGGTTGCTGTGAGCTATGATGATTGCACTCTAGCCCACCAGCTAGTCTTGCTAGTCTAGCAAGACTGTGTCTCAAAACAAAGTAAATAACTAATTTAAATAAATAAATAAATAAATAAGCATTAGTTTAGATTTTCTAAATTTTTATTCAGCCTGATAGACTGTGATTCCATAAAAGGTATCTGTCCATTCATTAATTCAACAAAGTTTTTGAGTAGTTTCTGTGAGCCAAGAACTCTTTAAACTTTGGGGATACAGTGGGGAACAAGAATAGCAAGGTTTCTGATCTCAGACTTTATAATCTAGTGGAGAATACTGACAGATTAAAGATCACTGCAGATCGTGATAATGTGATGATGGAAATAAACAGGGTGATGAAAGAGAATAACCGATTAAGGTTAGGAAAGCCAACTTGTTAAGAACAAAGAACATACATATTTCAGTTAGAAAAGGCTTCTCTGATTAGGGGATGATTAAGTTGAGACCTGAAGAATAAAAAGGAACCCGTCATGCAAAGACTGTGGGAAGATGCTTCAAGGCAGATGGCAGCAAAGGCCAAGATGTAGAAGTGAGAAAGCGCTAAGTATTTTTAGAAACTAAAAGGAAGCTATTACAGCTGCAGCATAACGAATAATGAAAAGTTGTTTGAGATGAACTTGAAGAAATAAGTATGAAGTAGATCATGAAGGACTTTTTAAGCCATAGTAAGAAGTTTGAGTTTTATTCAACGTGTGGTGAGAAGCCAGTGAAAGGTTTCAAGCAGAAGAGGAACATGGTCTCTGATGTATAGCAATAGCTAGTGTTATTGGCTATCTCAAGGGATGAAATAAATTACAGGAAAAAGAATAAAGTAAATTGAATTAGAAAAATATGTGATGTGCTAAGACAATTCAGTGAGAGAAAGAAGTCTTTTCAACAAATGGTGCTGAACAAATAGATAACCACATGCAAAAGAATAAAGTTGGACCTTTCCCTATACTACACACAAAAATTAACTCTAAATGGGTCATAGACCTAAACATAAGGGCTAAAACTATGAAAGTCTTGGAAGAAAACATAGGAGTAAATCTTCAAGCCCTTGGGGTAGGCAAAACCTTCTTAGGTAACACCAAAAACACGAGTGACAAGAAAAAAAGATAAATTGGACTTCATTAAAATTAAAAGTTTTTTGCTTCAAAGGACACCATCAGGAAAGTGAAAAGACAACCTACAGAATGGGAGAAAATATTTGCAAATCATATTATGGACCTGTATGATAAGGAACTTATATCTAGAATATATTAACAATTTAATAATAAAAAGACAAATAACT